TATAAAAGAAAACTACAATTCGAGACGCATATATCCTTTAATATTTTCCATCGGCTCAATAAATTGTTCAAACGCAATTAATTATATTCTCTTTACACGTGACTCCATAACACGCGCCGGCGACTGTCACGATATTTAACGTATCAGTGGCCACGTTGAACGAAAAGAGCGCGACTGCATCGACTTGGAATATTTTCCCGAGGACACAATTTCACGTGCATATTGGCGCTTATCGGGAGCAATCGGTCTTTGATGTGAGCACACGTGTCGCAACCTTCACGGGACACAGGTTCGCGATTAGTCGATGCGTCAAGAATATACGGCAATAGGTAAATGGCCGTTAAACGTCGTTTAACGTCCGCACGATGCGCAATGCATGAAAGTTAACACGATGGGAGAAGAAGTAACATCGGGAAACGATAGAAACAACAACGGCGAAATTGGTATGTTGAATTCGGCCGTTTCTAACCGTTTATACTATTCCAGTTTTCCGTAAATGGATCTCTGCTATACCGCACTTAATAGACGTTTTAGCAAATTTGATACACACGCACGCACATACACACACGTGTAGTACGCGTGCACCCACACAAATATACACACGCAGCGTGACGTCGGTATTGTTCCGCCCGTCAAAACGCCGCTGCGAGAGAGAAAACGCGTCAGTGGCCAGGGGAGAGCCGACAGATGGGGGAGAGGGGGAGAGATATAATAAACTTCTGAAACGCGCGTGTGTTCATAAATATTGACAGCTAGCCGGCATAATTATTAATTACCACGTAATTACTCGCACATTTCATTAGAGCCGCGTTCACTCTTTGTGGAACTAGAACGTGGCAGCGGCTTTTGAGCTTGTTGCGCGTATTAAAATACTTTGGCGACGTATTATATGTAAATTGAATTAACGTTCCGATGATACGATAATAACGAGTTGTGTTTACGGTTGCCACTACAATGCAAGCCAGTACACAGGCAGCACACGTTCGCGATATAATTAAATCAGCGGGTTCGTGTTGCAAAAAGCGCGGCTCAAACATTACGGCATAATTGGACGTCGATCGGATACGATTCGTTCGTGCATTACTGACGGATTGTTCGGGCGATCGAATAACGTGCGCGCATTATGGCACGGTGCAAGCAATAAGTGGGGAAATGGCGTCTTCAAATTTACCGTATTTTCGGGACGAACTTTAATTAGATTCTCGTCCTCCTCGTGATCATTTCATGCGCGCGCGCATATCGCTCCTCCGTAACGAAAATTTCAACACTAACGCGGAAATTACAACCGCCGAACAAATATTACTTAGCAAATCTGGCAAATGGCTATTTGGCGTTTGTATCACGGTCGGCTAAAACGATTTTAATTATCGGTCCACTCCCAACACAAAGTGTAACCCTTTGCGTACCGTTGCATTCCGCGCCAATTTTCCGGCATTATTACCGGCGGTTCACTGATAACTGATACCGCAGACTTCCTCGTTGATGAAGCAGTAGAAAAAGAACTCCTTAATTAATCTCATAGTCATTTAACCGGAACTACGAGTAAAGTGTATATGTGAAGAAAACAAAACAAAGGAAAAAAACCCACACGTAGTTGTCGAGTCATTGTTATTAAACGTACATGAAAAGAATTTTATAGTCAAAATTACTGTAGGATTTTGTAACCGAGGAATCGATCGACATTCTATAACGTTTTTTATCCTTTCGCTTCATATTTGATATATTTTATTTTTTTTTATATTTTTTATATCTTTTTTTCTTTATTACATAAATATATATACAATTATATATATATATATATATATATATATATATATAT